AAGGAAAAAGCTGTGTTCTTTTCGTCAAAGGCATCCTGTCTGCACTGTACAAACGAGACGGTTCCTCCTTGCTGCCTGTCAGTTGGTGGCAGTGGAATTTTCAAGCCAGTCTGTGGTCTGCAGGTCACCATCCGTGAGGGAGGCTCTGTGATCTGTGTTGTTCAGGACAGACGCCTCCCCCCAGCAGTTGTGGTCAGGTCAGTGCCAATGCTTGCTGAGCCCTTGCTCCAGAAGGCTCCGGGGTGGGTTTTACTGGAGGAGGTCGCCAGGCCTGTCTTCGGAGGTGCCTCTGGGTAGGCTCAGACCTTCCCACTTTCAGTGAGCAGCAGCGGGCTGTAACCATTTAGAACCTGAAACAAAAGCCCCAGGCCCACAGCTATACAGTCAATTACCACTCCAGCGGCTCTGTAGAGCAAGGTGGAACTGCCCCCTGGGGGTTCTGAGGCTGTAACCCCTGCAAGGAGCAGACCTCCTCCTTTCTCCTGCCGAGTGGCTGCTAGGTTCTAGCACCTAACCTACTACACCACCTGGTCTCCAAAATCTGACTGGAGGTTACTGTCACATTGTCCAAATGAGCCTTGGTTTCTTTTCATCTAGCTTTATAAATAGACACGTGGCTCTCTGTTGTGTGGCGATGTAACATGTCACGTTCACTGCGCTTCCTCGTCAACAAACAGTTAACGCTATGATTCTAAATTCTCTTTGGCTGAAGAAGGCCAGGTTATGTGCCATTTGACCATCCTCAACCAACGGCCAGGAGCTGGACAAATGCATGTGTAAGTGAAGCCCTAAGAAGGAGCCGTTTCAGATTCACCTTGAGCTGCTTCTTGACCCGGGCATCCTGGTTTGATTTAGACAGGGCTGATTGCTGTTACGTTTTCCACACGAATGATGTACTGCAGCATAGGTGTCCATTTGCATACGGACTCACTGACTTTCTTCTCATGCACAATAAGATAAATAGGAGATTTTGAAGATACAAAAGTGTCCGCCCTCATCCCTGTGCCATCGAGACAAATCTCCTCCGTTCCAGTGGTCCGCCTGCCACGGCTTGAGGAGTGCTGGTGTTGAGAACACTCTTGTCTACAGTCTGTCCTTCCTCCTCATTAGCCTGCTGTGTTCCAGCAAAGGTGCTTAGGTCCATGAGGCCAGAGGCCAGAGCTGGCTGTTTGCCGGGGAGGAGCTGCTCCCCAGGCTTGTTTTTATACGATGCATTTCCGAATTCACAAGCAACGTGGCCCAGGCTGCCTAGGCTTTGACCCTCGTTGGTGTTCCTCATCTGTTAGGAATGCTGGGAGATAATGGACCACCCGTATGCCAAGCACAGGATGCTCAGTGAGCGCTGTGTTTGCGGGGCCCTGTGGGGAAAGCACTGGTCACTTCCCAGCCTCACGGGGGTTGCTGGAGGCTCTTGGACACCGGGCTGAAAGGGGCTGGAGAGAAATAGTCTGTCCTCTTTTGAACAGCTGCGGAGACCATATCCAGGACAAAATGGCATTCTCTGGAGACTCGGCCTACAGACACACCACCACATCTCTTGAGTTGATGTTTCTCAGGAGGCCAGTAAGGGAAGTTCGTGCTAGAAATCACAAAGCCTCGGCTTCCCAAAGAAAGCAGAAGAGCCCCGCACAGCCACTCCAACTGAGACCCAAGATCACTGGGAGTGATGAGCCTCAGGCAGTGGGACCTGGACAAGACCCACAGCCCCTTCACTCCAATGAGGAGTGTTGGCCCTGGCATGGGTGCCAAACATCATGGATGCGATCTTCAGGTGCCCCGGGGTACCCCCTTGCCCTACTCAGAAGACTTTGCTCAAGAAACCAAATCCAGAACACTTATCATCGCCGCCTGCCAAGAGCCCCTTTTTCAGTTGTGATGGCTGACCTTGAAATGTCCCAGGAGGCCATAACCAAGGGACCTCAGACTGCAGGCTCAGTGGAAATGCTGAGGCTCGGAGTCCTGCATTGACACTGAAAAGTTTTACTATAATAACCCTAATAGGGTATCACAAACCCTGGGTCTATGTCGCCTTAAATGAGACCTGCGCGCGTCAACATCTCTAAACAACAATGCAGAAACCTTAGCTTGGGTCTCGCCTGCGCTTCGGCAGGTGTTGGGAGTGGGGCCGAGATGACTGTGCAGGATGGGCTGTGATGTCTGCCCTGGAGGGACTGGCTTAGGAGCTGAGGAAGAAGCTAAGTACGTTCCCACCGTGGGACTGCTGCCGCTGGCTGAGCTCCAGAGTCACCTCCTCCTTGAGGGCAGGAGCATCGGCCCCAGGTCAGAGCCCCAGGAAAGGGAAAGGCAGCTGCCTGGGAGAAAGTGGAACTCGAAGACTAGACAGCCAGTATTCGGTCAACGAGACCGTGCGGCAGAGAGGTTAAACATTTGACCACCATGAAGTTGGCAGTTCGAGCCCACCCACAGCTCCTGGGAAAGGAGATGCAGCCATCTGCTTCCACAAAGATGTACAGCCTTAGAAGCCTCCAGAGCAGTTCTTTTGTCCTGCAGGGTCCCTGTGAGTTGGAATTGACTAAGATCACGAGTATTGTTTTAACCAGAAGCCTTCTCTGTGGTCTGTGCTGCATCTTCAACTGGCTTGTGCCCGCCTGTGGATCTCTGCAGGTGATGCATACGGTTAACGTACTTGGGCACTAACCAAAAAGGGCATCCAGAGGCACCTTGGGAGAAAGGCCAAGACATCTCCTTCCCGGGAATGAGCCCGTAGAGTCCTAGGGGCTCAGTTCTACTCTGACACACATGGGGCCGCCCTGAGTCAGAGTGGGCCAGCAGCAGCTGGTCCTGGCAGTGCATGCCGAGAGTATCCCTAGGAACATGGAGCCCCAGCGCCCCAGTGGTTAGGTCTTGGGCAGTGATCCAAAAGGTTGGCAGTTCGAAAGCACCCGCCGCTCCTCAGGAGCAAGACGAGGCTTTCTACTCCAGTAAACCATTTAGTCTCAGAAACTCAAAGGGCAGTGCTAGCCTGTGCTGTGGGATGGCTATGAGTCAGTATTGGCTCCTGGGCGGTGAGTTAGTAGAAAAATGGGACCCTTGAAAAGATGCCTCATCGTGTAAGCAGCTGTTCCTTTGTTTTAAGCAAAGCAGGTTGCTGTGACACAGTCCTGAAGCGCACTGACCCAGGGGGCCTGGGTACAAATCCTAGAGGCGTCCTTGTCCAGTTCGGCCAGGTAGTCAGCCTTCAGTAGCTGAGACTGGACTCCCTCTCTGGAAAAAGCCGCGGTAACCCTGCCCTCGGCCAGCATACCTGGGGCTGGGTCTCCAGGTGCCCGGGAGACTCTCCCTGGGCAGCCACAAGCCTGCAGAGACCTTGTGCACACACACCAGGCAGGCGTGGATGGGTTCTGAAAGTCAGATCCCATCCCGTTTCCAAGCCAGGCTGTGACTCTCCCCAGAAAAGGCTCCAGCCGTGCCTTCTGTTAGGGAGGCTTGCCCAGCACCCTCCCTCTCCACCCCCCCAGCCCCAATCCCCAGGAAGTCAGGAAGATGTATGTGTTTTAAAACATTGGGGGGTCTGCTTTGGATCACCCAGAGCTGTGGCTTCCCGCGCAGCAGCCCAGCGCGCGGGCGGGCGGGTCTGCGGTGAGGCGCTCCGGCCCCATCCCGGTGCCCCACACAGGGCCTGCCTTCTCTTGGCTTGGGCGGCCGTTGACTTTTAAATCATAAAAAGCCGCTCTCTGGACAGTTTACTCTGTTGCTGAAAGGGCAGCGGGGACCTAGGTATTAAAAACGAGCGCAGGAGAGGGAGGAGGAGGAAGAGAACAGAAGGCTGCGTCCGTGAGTCCCGGCAGGCTTCTGAGCACTGGAGCAGTTGTGGATGACAACAGTTAATTAGAAACATGAGCAGCCTAACTGAAAACACTTGTGACAATTGGAAGAGCCGCCTCTCTGGTTGGAGAGTTTTTCCTGGGGAGTCCTTGCGGGAGAAAGTGGCTGCTGCCGGGTAAGTCCTGCCAGGGGAGTGCAGGCGGGGGTGCGTGTCCTTGTCCTCGGGGGAGAACAGGGGCACAAGCAGGGCTCCTCTGCGAGGTGTCCTCCGGCCATGGTCACTCACCTCACCCTGAGCCTTGCCCCTTCAGAGCGCGACCTCCCGCCAGGAGAAGGGGCTGCGGGCTGGTTGGCTCCTTCCTGGGAGCCTGACTGGTCGGACTCGGTGGTGAGCAGAGTTCAGTTTGGAGCCCGCCCTTCCCAGAATCATTCTGGCTCTGGCTCCAAAATATGTTGAGGCTTTTCTGAGAAAAGGATCGGGCCAGGAAGCTCCCCGGGGCGCCACAGGGAAGCCTAGGATTTCAGATAACCTGTGCTTTCCCGCGCCCGCCCGCGGAGTCATGTGTGCCGTGGACACTTACTTCTTCAGCAGAGAAGGTCTCGCTCTCTTTTTTTTTTTTTTCTTTTTGCGTGTGTTTTTAAGTCCAGCCTGAACCATGTTCACAATTCTAAAAGGCTCAGCCCAGGGAACACGCGCTCTTGCGAAGACGTAGCAGCTCCCGGGAGGAGTTCTCTGCGGGACACCCTGCGCCTGGGATCCTTGGTGTCCACCTTTTTTCTGACCCTTCACTCGATTGTTTTGTGGTGGTGTCTCTGCTACATGCTAAGTGGTTTCCTCTGAGTCAGATCATTCTGGCTGCTTTGTGCCACTGGGCACCGGGGCTGTGGATCGAGTCATTCCAACGGGCAGATGTCTCCTATGCAAGCCACGCCGGGGCGGCACTGGGGGTGTTTAGTCTCTTTGGGCTTCTTTAGACTTACATTCTTATGTGCTCTGGGCAGGTTAATGTTGGCATTTGTGTGCATTGGTACAGCACTCACTGGAATATGGGGCTGGGGGGAATGGTGCAGGGGGCAGGCTTTGAACAGGAACCCCAGAGAAGCCCGCAGAGCGGGCAGTGGGGTGGCCAGGGCATGAGGGAAGGGGAGGACTGGCATGTGGTAGTGGGTCCCCAGGTGTGATCCCAGTGTCCCACTCTTTCCTGTCTCTGCAGAGCCATTGGAAAGCCCAGCCTCCTCCCAGCCCGGAATGAGTGAGCATGCACCTGCTGCTTCGGACGCAGGCAGCTCCAGCCCCGCCACCTGCAGTGCCTCCTCAGCCATCCCCCAGCCCGGGGCCGCCTCCAAGCCCTGGCGCAGCAAGTCGCTCAGCGTGAAGCACAGCGCCACATCGTCCATGCTCTCCATCAAGCAGCCCGTGCCCGAGGGCCCCCGGCCCGGCCCCGAAGCCAGCAAGCCTGCTCCCAACAATCAGAAGTCCATGCTGGAAAAGCTCAAACTCTTCAACAGCAAAGGGGCCTCCAAGGGTGGCGAGAGCCCCGGGTGCCGGGACGCGAGCGGTGAGCGGCTGGAGATCCTGCCCAGCTTTGAAGAGAGCGAGGAGCTGGAGGCCGCCAGCCGTGCCCCCTGCACCCCGGGCCCTGCGGCCAATAGCCCCAAGATTGCCCTCAAGGGCATCGCCCAGAGGACCTTTAGCCGGGCGCTGACCACCAAGAAGAGCTCCCCAAAGAGCAACGAGAAGGAGAAGCCTCAGCGGGAGAAGGACAAGGAGAGGAGCAAGGACCTGGCCAAGAGAGCCTCTGTGACCGAGAGGCCGGACCCCAGAGAGGAGCCCAGGGAGGACCCCGGCGGGGCTGCGGGGACTGAGGTGCCCAAAAAGTCCTCCAAGATCTCCAGCTTCATCCCCAAAGGGGGCAAGCTTGGCAGTGCCAAGAAGGAGGCCTCAGCCCCTCCACACAGTGGGATACCAAAACCAGGCATGAAGAGCGGGCCCGGGAAGCCTCCGGGGGCCTCCGCACCTGCCAAGGAAGGTGAGCGCAGTCGGAGCGGGAAGCCGGGCTCAGGGCTTCCCCAGCAGAAGCCCCCGCTGGACAGTAGACACTCCAGCTCCTCCTCCAGCCTGGCTTCCTCAGAAGGCAAGGGCCCCAGCGGAACCACCCTGAGCCACAGCATCAGCAGCCAGACCGTCGGGGGCTCGGCCGGGACCACGCACACCACAGGGAGCAATACCGTCAGTGTTCAGCTACCTCAGCCCCAGCAGCAGTACAGCCACCCCAACACTGCCACGGTCGCGCCTTTCCTGTACAGGTAGGGGCCCATCCCTGGGCCAGTGAGCCTTTCTGGTGGAGTCTTGGTACTAGGGGGATGGGGGACGGAGGTCAGCAGCGCCCCGCAGAAGCATTGCAGCAGCAAATGGCTAAGGCACCTGGTAGGAGTGTTTGCCACCTGCTTGTGGGAAGACTGCCCAGCAGGGTGAGAGAGGGTTCGGCAAAGCGAGAGGGAGGAGGGAAGTGTTGAGTGGATGCCCAGGATGAGCAGGGCTGGAGGGAATCTCCCCAGAAGAAACTGCACCACGGGGTGGCAGCATCCCCCACCAGGCCTGGTGCACCCTGGTGGAACTGTAAAGACAGCGGCGTTGCTGAACTACTGCGACTTTCCCTCCTAGAAGTGTTTGCCTTAAGCGTCCCGTTCCTCACGCAGCTTCTGAGCGCATCACAGGTTTTCTGGCGGGAGGAAGAGTTGCGGGAATGGGGGCGGTGAGGGGGGGAGAAACCAGTTCTAGAACAAAGGCATCCACAGCATATTGAGGAGACAAGCCTAGACCTACGTGTCTGACTCCATGCTACACCCCAGTCTTTCTGATGTGCACATCGTGGGCCCACGGGGACCCACCTGGACACAGGTACTGCTCTATATGGCTCTGGCCCATGACAACCCCTAGAAGGCCCACCTGCATCACTGTGTTAGTCTGGGGAAACTAGAGAAACAAATCCAGGGAGACTCACATATGTGTAAGAGAGAGCTTTAGATCAAAGAGTAATTATATATTGAGAAAACATCCCAGCCCAGTCCAAACCAAGCCCATAAGTCTGATATTAGCCCATATGTCTGATACCAATCTATAAATTCCTCTTCAGACTCATGCAACACATGCAATGACACCAAATGCATGAAGATCACAGGCCAGTGGGTGGAAAGTCTTGTGGATCCAGTGGCAGTGGAAACACCTCAGAGCTGGCAGGGTCTCCCTGTGTTTCCTCCAGCTCCAGGGCACTCACATAGCTCCATGTGACTTATCAACAGGAATGTCTCATAGGGAGACAGTATGTGTCCCACCGCCAGGAAGGAAGATAGGAATTCCCAGAGTCCTCCGGAGAAGGCCATGCCCACACAGTCACACACATCGTGGTGTCTTGGGTGCTATCGAACATCACACGAGCGAGCAATTGGAAGTGCTAGTGTTTAGATCCAAATCTGTTGAGTGAGTGGAGCGAGCTCCTCACCACCACCCTGGCCCTCACCTGGCTCTGTAAACCGCTGTCTCTCCACCCCTCCATGGCTTCACCTGGAATGTCCAGAGGGAGCCAGATTCGATGTGTTTTTATAAACAGTGATTTGGATTTCCTTCCTGCTCTAAGATGCCCTGTCTGCAATTTCTTCTTCTCTGTGTGTAACTCTCACTCCCAGAACCTCCCCATGCTCATGAGGTTACCAAGGGGCAAGGGCGAGACAGACAAACTGTGCCGAGGGAGTAGTGTGTGCTTCACAATTCAGAACTATCAGGCAACAGACTTTCTGGGACAGGGAGGGCCTTTGTGTCAGATTGAATGTGATTTGTGTGGCATCCGGGGAGTTTGATATTATTGTCCCCCACTGATAGCTGAGGCCAGTGATCCCCCAGACATGAGGTGATTTATTCAAATGTGCACGACTGTCCAGTTTGTGGGGCCTAGACCTGAAACCAGCGAAATCAGACTCCAGCACCCCACATCTTTCCAGATGGACAGTTTCTCCTTCACCCACGATCCGTCCTGCACACCTGTCTTGACTGCCCGCTCTTGGCCTTGAACTCATCTTTGCCCTCAGAGGGTTCCATTCTAGGTGGGGAGAGACGTAGCCATGGCACCGCTCCTTTAATAAACACTGGCTGGGAGATGGTGGAGGGGCGCGGGAAACACAGGAGAGCTGGTGAAGGCAGCTGGCAGGAATCTGAAGGGGTTTTCCAGGCCCACGTGCTATGCAAGCCGCATCTCTTGTTTATTTTCTTGGTGTCAGTATACACAGCCTTCTACCTGAACAGCTCAATATCACGGTTTGCATATTTCACGATGTGCCCCCCACATTCCCCCATCACCACTCAGACCCTCTGCCCTGTCAGGTCCTCGTCTGCACTTGATGAGTGGTGTCAGCGTTCACTCGTCCTGACAACTCTTGAGGAGAGCTGGCTGCGTGGGGCGAACATTCTGTGTTAATTAGGCTGAGCTGTGATGTCGTGGATTACAGACTGTGTGGCTGACTAGACAGTCAGCCACTTGAGTCCCCTAACTAGTCCAAGAGAAAAAGATGAGCTACTCTTTTTTTTTCCCTTGAATTTTTTTTTTAATTGGGGGCTCATACAACTCTTATCACCATCCATACATACATCAATTGTGTAAAGCACATTTGTACATTCATTGCCTTCATCATTCTCAAAACGTTTCCTCTCCACTTAAGCCC